TCAGCTTCGATCGCATTTCTCACCCACAACACAATACTTGAAAGATGGATGACTCTCCACATTGTGACGCCGCAATGATACCTTCTGATCGCGCTAAACCCATTGAAATAATGCTGTCAGTCGATCATAGCTATCAGTACAACCAATGGATTGAGAATCAAGACCTTATTGTACAAACAGTCCAACATACTCTCAGGAATGTACCTCAAAATTTGTCCTCATTTGATCTTTTCTGTCGCTTGTTTCAGAGGTACCATGAATTATGCAAACAAAAACATCGGGAATGGATTACCTCTGCCGCAACTATTGTCATTGGGTGGTTGATGAGTATGATGATGCAACAGATCATTGCAAGCGAAGCTAGAACTTCCCAAGGGCATGGCCGAGCGACAGCTGCCTACAAACGAATCGCGGACTCTACCGGCTTTACACCATCTCAGATCAAAGAATTGCGCAGAAGTTTCAGATTTTATGGTTTCTGGCTTGGAATGTCCATCTTCTTGAACCCCAGAGATTTGCGAAAGTGAACAAGGCCAATTATATATATCATTTGGTGGTTTGGAATGCTAATCGAACCACAGATGGACGCCACAACGGCCTACAGAATCCCGACATATCAACAATATTTCGTGGAGTGGAGAAGGGTACAACATACGAACAGCGACAATCCTCGGACGAATTAGCATTTTCAATCTACTCGGAGATTTTGAAATACTTGGGATATTGTGTGAACAAGGTTCAAAAACTTGGAGTATATCGTCCACAGCTTGTGGCTTGTAATACCACACACGAAAGGAGGGAAGAACCATTAGGTAAGTTATTGATTCATAGGTATCTACCCTTTGGCCATAGCAGTGACCAGTGAATAGTACTTCAACAATCAATCGACATCACGGAGAAAATGATTTTCGGTCCTCAGCTCTTCTTCTTCCCCACACCGACCATTGCACGATGCGAAAACGTGGCTTCCTTGATTATCGGCTCGGCTCAGACGGATAATTTCTTTAAATCATTTCATCTTGAAGAGAAAGAATATGAAGGCAGTCTTCCCGCATCCATCCGAGGCCAAGGAAGAAACCCTTTGCATAATATCATAGCACCGACTGTCCAACCGATCCTAACAATTTGCTCTTCATGATAATACTCGATGAACGGGTCCCTCTCTTTGATAATTGGTATCGCAACAGCTACGGTTCCTTGAGGAATGCCAAATGAGCCCTCAAACATAACGAAAATCTGAGGATCCCAACCATTTATGTCAACTCAAACAGGGTCAAGAGTTCGAGCGACAGCCAAGCTATATCCGTAGCGAACCTGTGGAATTGCGGAGAGGTTAGCAGATGTGTGGCGTCGATTGTGAGAAATGACATACGAGTCGTTGATGGATGTTTCTGAATTCTCTTTGGATTTCTTTGCAGCTTTCCCGGGGTGGAAGTGCCGTCAGCGGTACTTCAGTGGCGGCGTTTACATCGTTACGGATGTCCATTGCGGCTATGTTGATTAAATTCAAGATCTCCTGAGTCGGGGAGGATATGACTAATCTGGCCTCCAATATGGCTGCCATCCTGAGGCTTGTTGGTTTGTGATTTAGGATCTGTATGAAGTTGTTTTAATGACGCATTATCAATTTACCGATTTTCACGTGATCTTAAACCACGCTTCAGGCAAGAAGTATGCATTTTTCTCTTTGTACTACGGCTCATAATACACAGATGGAAAACTAACTTGCAAAATGAAGATCTCTATTGTTCCATATATACTTCTTCTATCTCCTTCACCCATCATTTACCATTCTTTCCCCATTAACCAAATTATACAATCCACTACTTGAAATTTCTATTCACCGTTCCAATAGGACAATATGGATGGGAAAAGCAATGTAAGAGAGAAAGGGATATCCAGAGATATATGGAAGAGCAATGACAACTCTGCCAACGAATAGAAAGATATACAAAATGAGATCGAGAAAATCCGAGATGATGCAAAAGCAATGTATAAGAGGAGGTACCAGGAAATTTCTTCACGAAGCAGCAATAGACCGGATAACCGAAGTGAAGAAAAATACCAGGAGATAATTGCGAAAAGTTATCTACAAATATTACTGTAAGCGTTTTGGAAGTCGAACTTTAATTCGTGGGTCTCTTTTCCCAGGGAATCGAGAACGTGGGGATGATGAGGGCTTTTCCTTCTTTGATGAATCTCCATCCAAGCGATCGTCCTTCTTCATCGCTAATATTGTCTTATTCTCTTCTAACCTTCAAGAAACACACTTTCTCCGAACTTGCGATGCTTTTTTTGACTATCGGGTATTGCGATGGGTTGAGCCTTCTGCCAAGGCCGAATCATCGATCGAATCAACATTCAATGTTTTGGAAAGGATTTGAAAATAAAGATGCTCCGGAATATATTGCAATTGAAATTCAAGATTGTATATTATATCATTTTCAATTTTGCTTTTTTTCAAGAAGCCTTGGAAAAGCTACTCTTGGTATTCGCCAACGGATTCCAACTCCAGTGTACGACAATGATAGTGGCGACGATCGACAAGCATTAAAATGCATTCGTAATCACTCGATAGATATACTAGACTAGCAAACAACGAAGGAAACTATTGCTACGAATCACTATCGTTTCCGTCGTCATCAATCCGAAGTTCGGCTGAATACTACATCTCTTTTCCTTGGTATACATAATGATCATTTCCTATCTTGCTCTCTGTATGCATTTCTACTTCTATTATTGTTCATATACAAAGAGCTCATCCACTCGTTGAATAGTGCTTTAATCGTAATGGCAATTAGATTTGCAATATAATGATTCGATAGAATAATAAGAATGATCATTGAAAAAAGTAATAAATATCGATTCGTTTTGTTCACTAGAAACTAGAAACAATCCTATATCATACCCAAAAGGACTTCTTGTACTTCTATTGTTTATATCCCATTCGGGAAAGGAAGAATGATATGTATACTCATATATGCTTTACATCGAATCGTCTGTATTGTATAGATTCTCGAGATTGGAGTTGATCGTAAGAAAGGAGGGTTCGAGATTGAAAATAACTGATTCGTTACTTTTGTATGTTATCGGATTACCTTTTTTTTTTTGGCCAGAAAACCGGATATTGGAATAATCGAAAGATAATACACATACTTTGTAATGAAAAACAATTTTTGGCCTTTTTCGAAGCAATATCATTCTCTCCCATTGTATTCTTTAGGCTGGGATCCATCAATTCTGTATTCTTTTTTAGTGTGATAAATTGGAAGATATCGATTGTATATGGCTGGGGTTCATTATTGTTCTCGCAAGCTAGATCGATGTCTGTTCAGGTTCCCACCGGTCAGCTATACATACTGATTGAGAAAACCAAAATTCCAAACTGAACTATACCTAGAGCTTCTATTGGTTTGTAACTTTCATCAACTGTTGATGTGCGCGTGATACTCTCGTCTGAAAAGCTCGGCGTCAAAGGCTGAATGATGTCGTAGATATTCAACTGCTGCTGTATAGATCCATGGCGACGTACTGGTCTTTTGTTGCGAGAAACGGTTGGCACAGTATATATAGGATAGGTTTAAAAGTAGCCATTTTGCAGACGGAAAATGATAGAACAAGAGTTCGAAAATCAGTTGATATGAATGAATTACAAAAATGAAAGTAGAAATAAGAGTTTAAATACAAAACTTTCCATTCTGTAGCTAGATGCATTACCTCTCTTCCAAACACTTTTCCCGTCAAAACCAGATAAGCATGCTCCGATTGTATTATACATCGTCGGTGTAATACTGGATAGACCTATTCTTTTTTGGTTATTAAAGTTTGGCCCTTCATTTCAATGTATCCGATGCGTATAGCGCACCTGCTGCGATTCATGTTATTGCTGTCCAAATCTCAACTACATTCCTTCAGTTGTGGGAAACACCGTCAAGTCGGCTAGCTCCTAATAGCTCTTTCCAGGGTTACACGACTCACACGATCCAGACCGCAAGCTTGTCGTGATCCGGTTCTCCAATCCCAAATCATCAACGTCTCATTTTCAGTTCCAGAATGATCAGGAGACCAGTAGCATATTACCAATGAGTCCGGATCGAGACAAGTATAGCACATCTCCTCTGCAGTGCAGGAAACCACCGAGATGCATCCTTGAAACACATAGTGCATTCGCAGCACAATCAAATAGCAGCCATTCTTGCTACCATATCTTACTACCGTGTTTTGCTATCGTAAGGCATTTTTTCAATTAGCCAAATGCTTATGAAAGGAAACAAAGCTAACAAAATACCCCTGAAATTGGGATCATCGAGGTAATGGTTTAAGGAATATCGAGAAAGAGGAAAGTGAAATGAATCCATTCTTGTATTTGAACAAATTGAATTTGCAGCGAAAAGAAGGTTGTCATTGCAATATTGGAAAAGATCGAGGTCAGGAAAGCAAATCGAGATTGATAGGTATCCTTAAGAAGGAATAATGATCGATTGTCGATGTTTTGAGTTGCAGTCTAAACGATGAAATGGATCTACATGAGATGGGGTTCATGACGCATAAAGAGATTGAATGCGCAAGAAAGCAGTAGTGGAAGTAAATCGAAAGGAAAAAAAAAGAAAGATGGAAGACGGAAGGACACTCGAGGGGGTCTTATAGATATTTGAAAGCGGCGGTAGGGCATATACGTGCGCCTCGCCTAATACAGCGGCCACTAAACCTATAGGGGACAATACTGCGATCCGGATTATAAATTTTTTGATTAGTATTTTATGATTTATATATTTTTATATTTTATATTATATTTTATATTTTATATTATATTTTATATTATATTTTATTCGAATCATAAATTATAAACAAAAAACAATCAATAACAAATCTTCTCATTCCTCATTTCCCCACCACCAAACCAAACCACCCAAACCCCCACTCCCACTCCCACCACCAAGCACCAAAAAACATGTACCCAAATCCCTCTCCCCCCACCATAAATTAAACTCCTAAAGAAAGGTGAGATGGCCGAGTTGGTCTAAGGCGCCAGGTTAAGGTTAAGCCTAACCCACGATTTGTGCAAATAAATCTCCTGGTCTGGAAACAGGCGTGGGTTCGAATCCCACTCTCATCAGTGAATTTTTGGATTTTTGAGTTTTGATGTTTTGGGAAGGAACGATGGCGGAGGAGGAGAAGGAGAAGGGTTCTTTCTTTCTTTTTTTGGGGGGTGAGGGAGGGAGGGAGGGAGGCTGGTGGGGTTGGTGGGGTAAATGATAATCCTTACCTACCTACCTTAGGTACTAAGACTTTTATTCTCGATCATCAATCAATCAATCAATCATCAAATCCAAATCATACAAGCCATCTCGAATTATCTCAAATATTCTCCATCCATCCATTCAACCATTCATTCTCCAATCAAGTTCCCATTTCAATAACGTAAATAAAACCATCAATAATCCTATTCAGATATATTATCTACTATATACGATAACTCCCGATGCCAATTTACCTTAAGTCTGTCTTACCAAATACCAGATACCAGATACCAATACTAGATACCGAATACCATTTATCATACCAAACACAACTAAACACCCCCCGCTATGCCATCCCCTATGCTATGATGCTATGCTAACCCAGTCTATCCAATATCCAAAATAATGATAAAATACGCCTTCCATATATTTCCCATACAAATGCTATGCATACCACAGTGCATCCGTATAAATCCTTCCCATCCAATATCTCTAAACAATATATCAATCCAGCCATCTTAAACAATCCAAACTCCATTTTCATACATCATTCTCTCTCCCATCCCATTTATATCGGCGCACTATCTCTCCTCTCCACTCCAGCCCTCTCCTCCTTTGAATCCTCCTTAACCCTATCCAATACCACACCTCTCACGAGCCATCTCTCCATCTCAGGCACCAATTCTCCTATACGAAATGGTTTCGTAACTACACTATCCATACCCGCCTCTTTAGCCCTTGCAATTTGTTCACTTCTCGCATTAGCCGTAACAGCTATGACTGGTACACGTCCCTTAACTTTTCCTTCTTTCTCCCATTTGCGTATTTCTCGTACACATGTAAGACCATCCATTATTGGCATTTCAAGATCCATCAGTAGGATATTACATGGGATTCCTGGATCACCTTCCGGTAATGTGGTGGAAAATGTCGATTTCTCGAGAAATTCGAGGGCTTCCAAACCGTGATTCGCGACACTGACAGTACAGCCTGCGCCACGGAGTTGTTTGCTTAAAACCTGATCAAAGTTAGTTTGAAATTTAATAGTATAAGAGAATAATATACTTTTTGATTAACGATATTGTCTTCCACAATAAGGATATGTTTTGGTGTTGATGAAGCCGGACTTTGAGAACGACGACTTTTTAGACCATGACGAGTTGGTCCTTTAACTCGAGCGAGAGAATTATTCGTGATGATATTATTTTGCGCTTGAACATCCATTTGAGGAACAAAGGAATCCTTATCATCAGGGGGTTCGCAACGGCGAGCGCGAATGTAAAATGCAAATGTACTTCCTACCCCTGCTTTTGAGGCAACCCCTATTTGACCACCCTGGATTTCTGTAAGTTCTCGAGAAATGAAGAGGCCGAGACCGGATCCACCATATTGGACATGTGTTCGTGGTGAGGCTTGAGAAAATCTCTTGAACAAGAGATTGCATTCAGTTTCATCGAGACCGCGTCCACTATCTTTGACTTCGATATGTAGATATACAACCTCTCCATTTCCCCATTCACTCTCTGGTGTGTTATCTTTGTGAATATTGGTTCTTGAAAGGTAGACAAGACCTGGCGTGCTAGGAGGCTCGAGCGCTGCGCTCACTGTGATAGCGATATTTCGTTTTGCTTGAGTTTGTGTAAATTTAATAGCATTTGTGACGAGGTTGATAAGAACTTGTACTAATCTACTAGGATCCAGTTTGATCCAGTCGATACTGAGTTCTTCGAACGTGGGAGATACATGAAACCTTAGAGCAACGTCACCTTTCTGTAATTCTCCATCAAATATCTTCAGTGCATTTTTGATGATAAGTAATGGTTGTACTTCGGTCGGAGTGACGAATAATAAATCGGAATCCAATTTGCTCAATGTCAGAATATCATCAATGATTCTTTTCTGATGTTGAGCACAAAGGACAATCGTCGAAGCTGCATCTGCATATCCATGAACTGCTTCTCGTGGAAGAACAATATCATTAGTCCCTCCATCGAATTCTTTAACCGAAATTCCAATCATATCTGCACACTGGATGATTGCCGATAATGGGTTCCTCATTTCATGTGATGTCATGTCGATGAAATTCTCTTGTTGTCGCTTTAGCTCAACTGCTTCTAGCATTTTTCGTTTCTGGAAATCCTCCGCCCATTTTTGTCGACTAATATCTGTCAAGCAACCTAAAACACCAACGACCTTACCATCATCTGCCTTTTCAGGATATGCAGCTTGTATTATCCAAATTGCGCCATCAATTTCTTCATCTCCAATCTTATCAGCACCCTTGAAAAGTGCTCGTAACCGAATTTCAAAGGAGACAGGTTCGCCAGCCATAAGCTTTTTCCATTGTGCATCCATTATGGGCCAATCTTCCTCCATGAGTACATCATACCAGCTCTTCAGAACAGGCTTGTCAGCAAACAAAGATCTAGAAAATGGGGAACAAGTGAATTTAAAGGTTGATGCAAATACATCGAGGCTAACGAGCTATGAAAAGAGCTGGCGCCAGTAGAAATAATGTCATTTTTATTGATATAACAAAATTCCTGAGGATTATTGGACATGAATGACATTGCAAAGTATAGTATAGATTTGAGATTCCACTTGGACGATAATATGACGGAATATCAGTATCAATTGAGCTCTGAATAAACTTTAAAGCTTAATGACGAAGGCCTTAGGATGAAAGTATTATTAAGGCATACTCTGCAAGACGAAACTTCATGATTGACCAAAAAAAAAGTTGAGATGTATGCGATGCTTTGGTTTAGTTATGTGGGGATATAAGCAAGAAGACCATAACATACCATGGGAGTGTTGACATCCCTCTTGTGTTCCGTTAAATCATAATAAACTTCGTTAGCATAAAGTAAACTTCCCTCAGCATCGATATGAAACATTCCGACAGGGGCTAGATCAGCCATCCTCCTGAATCGACTTTCAATCTCTGAGGCTTCATGAGCTTGAATCTCAAGCTTTCTTGAAAGTCGATTGCGATCTTGATAAGCATGTTCGGCAGCCATTCGACCGCGTTGAATCTCATCTTCAACGAGTACTGCCGCAGCCATCGATGTAGCGAGTTGTCGGCTGAGCAATTGTATGAATAATCTGTAATCATCATCGTATTTCCGTCGAGCATTAAGTCCAAAAATAAGGAAGCCGAGAACATTTTCGGTGGTTGCTCTAATTGGCAAGAAAACAACTGTATCCCAAGCAAGTGTGCCCTGAAGAGCTGTGGTCAAGGATGGAGGGATAGTACCATCTTTTCGGTGTAAAAGCGTAGGCGAATCTGATTTAACAAGGTCACTGAAACTTGGTAGAAATTCTTCCATGGGGTTTTGAGAATTGATATGTTTCGGCACGTTTTTGTCAACATCAGGAACTCTTACAGTGCCTTCCAACACCCAATTACAGTTATGACTTGACGCTGAAGATTCCGAAAGTGTTTCGTTAACATCGTTACCAGCGGAATATAACAAAGCAAACGGTAAGTCTGGATGATCCGGTTCGAGGCCCCGCAGAAGCTGCTGCCAAAAGTCCTTGGGTTCTCGAGATGAAGCAATGAACTGCCCAAGTCGTAACAAAAATAGCATTCTGCGATCTGCAACTACTTGTCTGGTGGTGTCGAATACAGGATTGTAACTACCTATAATGTTAGTGCGGGCCTTCAATCAACCAAATTTCCATAGGAAGAATTTTAGACTTACAAGGCAAGATTACAATTATAACTGTCGCAACTGAATGGTAGAATCGATAAAGAAAAATACGTCTCCTCCAAGTATCCATGCCTTTCAAGATAAAACCTTGCATCATCCATGGTTGAAGCTTTACCAGTTTCATACGCCTTGTCAAAGATATTTTTGAACACGCCTTCAATCTCAGACCATGCTTCCAGAAAAGGCTTTCCCATCATCCCTGGATGCTTCTGTCCTGTGACTGACACATATGGTTCGTTGTACATTACAACTCTGGATTGACCCCAATACATTGCCGCAGGTCTTGGATCTGACATCAGGAAATTGCACATCCTCCGTAGCCCAACTGGCCAAGAATCTATGGGACCAAGCTCTGTAGATGCCCAATCAAAATCGAGGAAAAACTGTACATGGGGTGATAGTTCTACTATCGTATCTGGTGCGAATATATCGAACGGACCAAGTGTGGTATTTCCCACTCCAAGATCCTCTTTCAAAGTGACCGGTTCCTGTGCTGGCGGAAATATTGATATTGTATCCTCCCGATGAAGTCGATATGCCTCCAGTTGAGATTCCAGAGAGGGTCTAGACGCGTCGTCAGATTTTGACATAGATCGTGCCTTTCGAGGCGAAAGCGTTTGCGATCGTTGAATCGGAGGTTTGTCCCCAATGATATCTATCCTTCCTCCTGCATCTCCAGCAATGACCCTCCACCTATTCCTCATTGTTTGTGCAGTCCATCTCACTCCACAATATAGTGTTACAGGTATTTTTCCATCGCTAAAATCTCCCCCTGCCCATTCTAAAAATTCCCTATGCTTTTCGTCTTTCGTAGCCACGTCCAGATCAAGAGATTCTCCGACTTTGCTACCTAGAACTTGTAATTCCTTTAACCGCGGATTCGTATATATTGGCGTTGTCTCATTGGGTTTCGTGAGGTCAAGTATAAAAACCGCCCTTTCGTCCGATTCGAGTAATTCGAGAACTCCTATATTGCGCAAATCATCCTGCGGCTCGAGAGGACTCAAATTTGGATCCACAGGTACCGATATAATCTGTGTTGAATCTTTTGCTTCTTCATCTGTAGAGGAGGTTATGGCGAGGCCGTTGAATACCGACGGCAGATATTCCATCGCGAATTTCACCACATTTACCCAACCCAGTCGTATTTCTCTCTTGTTCGG